TCTTTGAAAGCAGGAGGAGATGGAGCGCGAGTTTTATGTGATGATGTTTGACCTAAAATAAGAATAATAAATAATGTTTCGTTAAAAAAATCGACTTTATAGTATTAGAGAATTCTTATCTATTTTTAATAATCTAACAACGCTTACTTTTATTTAATTTTAAATTTTTATGTAAAATTTTTCCAACAGTATGTCTTATAGTACGTTTGCTCGTTTCACTCATTATTAATGCTTAGTTGTTGTTATTTTGTTTTATATTTTAAAATTAATAACTCTACTCTTCACTATATATATTTTCTCAGCGACTAACCGGTTTTTTCAACACACATAAAAAAAGATCTAGTTAGACGGCAGGAATTTTTTATTATGTAAAATTAAGTATATCTATAAGCATCATTTGTCCTCAATAGAAGCTTCAAGATAACAATAATAATGAAGAAAAAAACGCCGAATAGTTTATTGCGCCTTTGTGTACATTATTATTGTTAATTATTTCGCTACAGGTAAAACAAATCGGCGTGTTACGTTTCACATGATATGTACATAATGTCAATGATTATTATATTATGTATAATTTAGAGGATCGGCAAATATACTAACCGTATAGGAAACATACAAATATTAAAATGAACTATTATAACTATCAATTCTAATGTCTATTGTCGCACTGAGAAATTAATGACTACCAAAGTGATTCAGACGTGTACTTGAGCTGTTATATATAACTCAGGGGAATTTTTTATCCTATTTTCTCGTCCGTATATCTTTTAAGCGAAAAGAACTCCCGCCAGTGGCTCGTGATTGTCTCGTTTTACAGAGAAATACGTGCTGAATAAAATGACAGATCTCAGAGCCCTCCACGATTCATGATTATAGGGATATTACAAAGATATTCAACATTACTCTTCAAAATTTTTCTTACATCCACTAATAAGTAATTAATTACTTAATAGTGAGACACTTCGGTTTCTATAATGAAGTCTACATCAAAATTTTTCTTTTTTGAACAATGTGTGTCTGCATCTATATCCAAGATCGACAATCACAGAGAGCTCTCAGATCTATAATTTTATTCAGTATGCTTTTGTTCGCTAAATGAGACAATCGTGGATTATGGACGTCGTTTCGTTCGAAAGATATACTGACGAGAAAATAGCACAATTAGTTATGGAAAAGCGTTTTCTGCTGCGCTACATAGACTAGTTCTCCTTTAACGCTAAAGTTTAACATAAAGTTGCGAAAACATTTTTTACAATTTAAAGCAACTTTATATTGTCATCAAATGATTATTAAAAATTGTTGAAAACTTTCAAATAGCTAACTATAAGTTATTCAAATTAAAACATTCATACTGGATCACACTAATGAATATAAACAACTGAGTGCATAGTATGGTTGAAGACTAGAAGCTTTTTATTGACTGTTAAAAACTATTTTTGCTTCTCAAAATAAGAAATCTTTTAAGTTTTAGATAATATTATTAATTTTGATTTAAAATAAAAATGAGTCTAATAATCAGAAAGGTCACGAGTATGTATGTATTACAGATTATTAACCAGTTTCTGGTAATCAAGAACGGTTATATATAGTATGCTCTCATCTATTGTTCCTCTTTTGAATCTAATTTTTGTAAAGAAAATCATTTTCTTTGATAAAATTTTTCAATTTAAACTATAGTTATACATAACCATGCATTTCATAAAATTAAAATCTATGATTTTCTATAGATAAAAATTTCTATGATAATAAACGTACCTGCTAGAAGAAAATAATTAATTAAGCTATAGAACAAGAGTGAGTGCATTGATATTTTTATTCGATTTTATTGTGTACTTTTCTAATGTGCAGAAGCAAAAAATAAGAATATGGTGACAAATTAAACTAATTTTGGTATCTATCATTTTATTGATTTTTCTCTCATTTAATCATGCTTTAATTAAAGATTATTCTAGTGCATGTGAGTATATAAACAATATTAGGTAGAAGATAAAGAGTATGAGCAGTGTTAACATACTTTATTGCAAATAATAAGTAAAGTGAAAAAAAAAAGAAAAATATAAAATTTTGTCGCTTATCAGTTGTACAAGCAAAACAATTTGAAATGGACATTCAAAAATTTAAATGGTGCAGGAGTACTCACTCACAAGCTGCGATATAAGAGAAAGATTGATAATTTTGTTCCGGCTAGAGAAGATCTGCCATTGATTGTCAATTAGATTGGAAATTATACAAGCCTCAATTATTTCCTACGTTTTTTAATAAAATATGTAGACTAAACGGATCAAGACGTTTTTTTGTGGTAATTTTTGAGAAGATATTACTTAATTGATTTATATCCTTTGTTTTCATAAGCCACCATACTCATTGTTTCTAATGATGAGGAATGTGACGCTGCTACTGATAAAAGACCATCAGTGAATGATGAGAATAACACTAATGATTGTTCTACTGCTTACTGATTGTGCACTATTACTTTAGAAATGTCATCAGTGGTAGCTGTTGAAACTTTTGAGTTCAAATTACGGCTATTAGTAGAAGATTTGATTTTAGGAAGAGATGCTGAAGATGATGATACGTTATTCTAAATTATTATTTTTTCTGCTGTCGTTATTGTTATAGTTTCCCTTTTAAAAGTCGTAGCTGTTATAGTTGTTGATGTAGTTTTAATCTCTTTTATTGGTACATTATCATCTGATTTCGAATTATTTTTACTATCTGTGAAATTATTACTAATGTCTACACTAGAAGAAGTTGTTTTACTAGTTGTGTAAATTATTACTAATGTCTATAGTAGTAGATATTGATAATTTGTTGAAACTACTGCTAGTATTTATCGTTGTGATAACCTACTTTTTGGAAAAACATGACGAATTATTATATCGGGTGGAGATAGTTTTTTTTTTGTTGTTTTACAATAATCATATGTTTGTTGATCGGATACTAATAGATCTAATCGACCATCACGTTTTGCTTTATCAATCAATTTTTTAACTTTATCGTAGCCTAAATTTTTTGTTTTTCGTTCATTTACTTCTAATAGAATATCATTTGATAATAAACCGGCATATTCAGCTGGTGAATTAGGTTCAACTTTTTGTATTATTGGATAGGCAACACCATTTATTTCACTTAATCCAAAACCAAATGTTGCCGATGTATCACCATTTGTATGTAAATGACATAAACGTAAACTGTATGATAACCCCTTAGTTCGTTGTTCTAAAGAGACAATTGCCATTGTTGATGCTGCTCTATTTGTATTTCACAGACACTCAAACCACAGCAAACAACAACAAGAGAAGAAAAAAAAAATTTGGCGAGATTAACTTGCCTCTGCTGATGATGTACATACGTAATGTTCTTGTACCAAGAAGTAAAAAAACACAGTCTTAAATTCTTTATATATATATATAAAGAAACGTTTTTGGAACACTGGGTCAAAAAAAGTTTTTTTTTTAAACGAGAGAATCACCGAGAATATTAATGTTTTTATAAATAAAACGCTCTTAAACCATGTAAGAACGATATATATAGTCTAACGGTATGCATATATATTGTAACAATTAACTATTTGACCGACTTAGAATTACTGCTGCTTCCCTTGGTGGTGGTAGATGAAGGATCTTAACGAAAAAATAAGCAACATTTTATGTGAGAGTAAAAAATAGATATGCGTTGGCTAAGCAAGAAAAATAAAAACAATAAATAAATAGATTTTCTTTATATAGTAGAAGAAGAAAAAAAAAGATAAGCAGATAATCCTCGTTTTTATTGTATTGTATCACTGTTGTGGGTATGAAAAGTTTTGTTTTTGAACACAAAGACGCCTAACTATAGACTGACACTATATATCCGATGCTCGTTGATTTAGGATTAATATATCTTTTTGTAGGAAGAAAATTCGAATTCAAACATTTTATTCTATAATTCAGATAGAAATGGATAATTATTTGGGTGGTACGCATAAAAATACTAATGCCAACAATTTATGCTTTGACGATTAAAATTTTTTTGGGCTCTCTTACGGTTTGCTGTGTTACAAGTTTAGAATATTAAACATTTTTTATATCAAGGACAGACTGTGCAGTTCTATTACGTGTACCTTTATACTTTTGAATTGAATCATCATCACCATTTTCTGAATATTTTCCTTCTCTATCATCCTCGTTGATCGATTCTGTGTCATCTGCTGTAGCTTTAACAATTAGTTCTACAACTTCATTTTTTAATGCTTCTTTGATCGTTTTTACTACGTCAGGATATGCTGTATCAGCAACCGGTTTTTGATTAACATACAACAGTGCATCATTGAGAAGGAGGCCACTCATACTAGCAGGTGAATTTGGTTCTATCTGATATATTAGAAACGGTGGTCCAGTAACACCACTTAGAGCAAAACCGGCTGTATGGTCACTTGTTGGATAAATTTTGCATAATCTTGCACCAGTTGGCAGCGGGATATTTGATGTCATATGAGACGGTGACGATGGTGGAGAGGAATTAGGAACTGTTTCTTTGAACTCAGATTCATTAATATTGGAAGCTGAATGAAAAGTCTGATTTGATGATTCGTGTGCTAGAAAAACGAATAATTTTAGTTTGTTGGAGTTTTATCCTATAAATATGCGTAATTGACCACCCATGTAAATGTTAATCTTACTTTACGTCAAACATGCAAAAGTGAAACGACAATAACCCTGTTATGTGTAAATTGATAGATCATGCAGTTAAAAAGAAAATTTAAGTTAGAATTAAAGAAAACATTATTAAAATAGTAAAATATCATCTAATTTTAATGTCACAGATCTAATGATGGTGTAGAAAATCTTGATCGATACGGATAAAAAACATAGCTCTATATGAGCTGATACTGTCAACTATCAAACAGGTATAACCAAAATTTATATTTTAAATAGACAGAAAAAGTGTGAAAATAGGTAGACTTGATTAGTTTGTCGTAGTTTTAGTTGGCAGATGAACAACACTCAAGGTTTACTATTAAGAAAATTTGATTAATTTATTAGTATTGTTATTGTTAAAATGTTTAATTTTTGTGATAATAAATAAAATAATAGAAGAGATAGGAGTAGAACAAAACAGAACAATCATAAAATAGCACACAGGCACACACACACACACATACATACACACACACGGTTAAAAGGATATAAGCTAGTAATGAAAATAATTAAATAAAGATTCATTCAAATGAGAGAGTGAGAGAGAGAAAACTACTATTCTAGATGGATTTAAGATGAATTAAACCACACTAAGGAGAAGTGTTGTATATTAGTAATTTTTTTTTTGTGTAAAATCATTCATTTAAGATGCAGAGCACACGCATGCGTTGAGTGTATATGCAAAGAATAGTTAATATCTACGATCATTTCGTCTTTTCTTTCGGTTAATGTCAATATTATTCTTGTTGTTGATTGTGTGATACATCTTACTTTTTGTTGAATTATTTAATAATGTTGGCCAATCAATCGTATTTTGTTCTTGATATTGTTTATATCGTGGTATATCATTTTTATTCATTAATATTAAATTAATATCAGTATTTGATAATGATAGAGAACGAATTAAAATTTTCACATCATCGTGTGTTAATTTTTCAACATTTTTTCCATTAACAAATAGAATAATATCATTTTCTCTTAGGCCAGCAAAATAAGCTGGTGAATTAGGTTCAACTTGATCAATTAAATGTAAACTATGCTGATATCTTAAGAGTAGACCATAACCATTATAAGTGGGACTTTTTCTTAAATGACAATGCTTGACAACTAATTCACCATTATCATCATGCAAAACAACAATGGTTTCATATTGTTGTTCATCATCATCAATTTCATCTTGTACATCGTTCTTCTTTTCACTTTCATAATCATTTTTAGATGATTTTTGATGACTTGGCGATCTTGTTCGTTCATTTCCAGACTGAGAATCTATTCAAATATCAAAATCAAAAATAGTTCGATATTAAATCAGAAATCTTCTAAAAATCGCTTACCTAATGGTCGTGAGCCTGTTCGTTGTTCGGACAATTGTTCATAGGTTGGCACTGGTGGACTAATACTACCACCAGAACCTACGAATAACATGGTTTGTGAGAATAACAAAAATTAAAAATTCGGATGATTATTACCTTTTCTACTTTGTTCAAGTTCAACACTTTGAATAAATTCCAAATATTTTGGTGTATAGACAACTTTGAGTATCAATGGTTTTTTATGTTGCATTAATTTTCTTACATCTTCATGAACGAGATCTGTAACATCGACACCATTTACTTCAATAATTCTATCACCATCTCGTAGACCTGCATTTTCTGCCATTGATTGAACATTGCTAATGAAATGTGTTTGAGCTGCACTATCCCCGTCGGGAATGAATGAATTAAAATCGAGCCCAGACGCTTCTTTCAACTGAATTACACGTACATCAGCAGGATCCTCACTAACTTGTGATGCTAGAAAAAAAACAGAATAAGAAGGTGAAACAGAATAAAACAAAAGAAATACGTTACATTGATCATCTGGACGACGAGAAATGTCAACTGCAGGTTTTGTTGTTGACCTTGCTTGTCTTTCAGTTGAATAATTTGGCGGCGATTGACTATGTGAACGAGATCCTCCATCATTTGATAAGGATCTTGGTGATTTTGTTGTTGGACTTGTTTCATCTGTTAGTGGATTTGTTAAACCAACGTGAAATGTACCATCCGGAGACTGTGTACGTCGTTGTGACGGTGGACTAAGTGATATATCTTGACGAAATCTCACTTGAGTATTATCTGGCGTATCACGAGTAATATCAGTTGTTAATAATGAATTTGAAGGTTGAACTAAAAAGTAAGCATTTATCATGAATATAAACTCATAACTATAATTCTCCTAAATTGGGTATAATGTACGAGAGATGGGGAAATTTGACTTACTTGGTGGTACATTGGTCTGTTTTGATGTGGATTGTTGTTGCCTAGCTGCTGTTCTATCTGTTGAACGTGGTATTGTACCTGACGATGTTTGTGTTATTGGTTTTTGTTGTTTTTCGCGTGCTACCACCATAAGAATCGTACCTTCGTCTGTTAATAATCGTCTAATTTCTTGTGATACGTCTCCAAAATCTTTTTCTCTAATATCACGATCTCCTATTTTAATTAACCAATCGTTTACTTGAAGTCCAGCTAAATCAGCTTTTGTATCTTTTGCAACAGCCGTGATGATAAATTGTAACGGATCAGCTTGTTTACTTAACTTGAGACCAACCGGTGATGTTTCTGTAGGTTGCATTAATTGAATATTATGCAATTCGAAACGTTGTTGTAACTCGGATAACGGCATCTTAGCTGTTAAAAATAAGAAAAAAAACAGAACTTATTGAAAACTCTGTTAAAATAATTCAATATGGTTTAATTAGTTAATCCATTTCATCATGTTTCAAAAGCAAACACATAAAATTCATTACTATCTTTTTTTGTAAAAGCAAAACAAGCAAAGTTATATGGTTTTTTTCATTATTGAATAATATATATAACATGCATCCGTTCAACACACAAGAAAATACGTTGAAGTCTATTCATAGAAACGAAAAGGTATTATAGTATGACAAGCAGGACCGCTTTGTTGACGAATTATATGCAGAGAGATATAGTTATCTTATCTTCTATATAGCTGAAATGGAAGTTATTCCGACAACGTTATTCAACACTTTTTTGTTCATCTTTTTGCCTGGCAAAAACTGCTCAAAATAGAAGTGAAGTAACTTCGAGTATTATTTATAGACCAATTGAGTCAGATACTTTTCAAAAATAAAAAAATTTCTTTTCCGACAGAGTAAGCAATAGCATAATTGTGCACCTATCTGAATTAATATTTTTTTTAAAAGAATTTCCGTGATATTCCAAAAACCCCAATTAAATGAAGTTAGAAATGTTTCCTGCACCGTAAGTTTTTAAACTCACATCTAGCGAAACTCACCCAACTCCATTTTCTTATATATAATTGGCTGCTGATTCTCGATTAGACGTTCTGAATGCATTGTATTGTCGGAATCACTCTCATTTTCTTTAGCTGAACTGCTGGTGGCATTTGGAATCTTTTGTTTGGATAAATCAGTTTCTTTACCCGATTCAAAATTACTCTTATTATCCTCCTTCTCATTCGAAGATATCACTAATGTTTGATGAACGGATGCATGCTCAGATGCTAGAGGTAATGTGTCATTGGTAGGGACTTCCTCGTTACTTTTCGTTTCTGGAGAAATTAGTTTTCTCTCTGATATACCATGGACACTTTCTACTGATTCCTCAGATGTGTCACTATCGTGCGAAAGTTCAGCAGGTCTGCTAACAGTAACCTTCTGAGAGACCGATGGATCCAAGTTGTTCGGAACATCGGTACGTTCCTCGTTATTTTTCATTTCTGGACAAATTAGTTTTCTCCCTGAAATGCCTTGGACATTTTCTCCTGATTCCTCAGATATGTCACTACCGTTCGAAAGTTTAGCTGATCGGCTAACAGTAATCTTCTGAGAGACGGATGGATCCAAGTTGTTCGGAACATCGGTATGTTCCTCGTTATTTTTCATTTCTGGAGAAATTAGTTTTCTCCCTGAAATGCCTTGGACATTTTCTCCTGATTCCTCAGATATGTCGCTACCGTTCGAAAGTTTAGCAGATCGGCTAACAGTAATCTTCTGAGGGACGGATGAATTCAAGTTGTTCGGAATATCGAAACGTTCCTCGTTATTTTTCATTTCAGGAGAGATTAGATTTCTCTCTGATATGCCATGGACACTTTCTACTAAGTCATCAGATGTGTCGCTATCGTTCGAAAGTTCAGCTGATCGGCTAACACTAATCTTCTCAGAGATGGATGGATCCAAATTGTTCGCAACATCGGTACGAGCAACATTTATGTTCTGTTGGGATGATGTATCTTGCGCAGTGACAGAAGATGATGGAGATAGTGCGTCCTTCTTCATAGTGGTTGAGCCCTGTTCATTTACAACGTGAGCTGCGCTATTTTCGGTTAAAACAAATGCTGACTTTTCTGCCGGAACGTAATCGGATACGGTTTTATTAATCTCGTGTGTTGTCTGCTGCTGCACTTGGTCATATTCTGATCCGTCTTCATTTGCTGATAGATAATCATCAGCAGACAACGTTTCCTTTCTAGAGATGGGTGAATCCCAAATGTTCGCAACATCGGTACGAGCAACATTTATGTTCTGTTGGGATGATGTATCTTGCGCAGTGGTTGACGGTGGTGGAGATGGTGCTCTCCTCTTCATAGTAGTTGAGCCCTGTTCATTTACAATGTGAGCTGCACTATTTTCGGTTAAACGTTCGTCGTTATTTTTCATTTCTGGAGAGATTAGATTTCTCTCTGATATGCCATGGACACTTTCTACTAAGTCATCAGATGTGTCATTATCGTTCGAAAGTTCAGCTGATCTGCTAAGAGTATCCTTGTTAGAGATGGATTGATCCAAATTGTTCGCAACATCGGTACGAGCAACATTTATGTTCTGTTGGGATGATGTATCTTGCGCAGTGACAGAAGATNGGTAAAAACAAATGTTGACTTTTCTGCCGGAACGTAATCGGATACGGTTTTATTGATCTCGTGTGTTGTCTGCTGCTGCACTTGATCATATTCTGATTCGTCTTCATTTGCTGATAGATACTCAGCAACAGACAACGTTTCCTTCCTCGAGATGGGTGAATCCCAAATGTTCGCAACATCGGTACGAGCAACATTTATGTTCTGTTGGGATGATGTATCTTGCGCAGTGGTTGACGGTGGTGGAGATGGTGCTCTCCTCTTCATAGTGGTTGAGCCCTGTTCATTTACAACGTGATCTGCGCTATTTTCGATTAAACGTTCGTCGTTATTTTTCATTTCTGGAGAGATTAGATTTCTCTCTGATATGCCATGGACACTTTCTACTAAGTCATCAGATGTGTCATTATCGTTCGAAAGTTCAGCTGATCTGCTAAGAGTATCCTTGTTAGAGATGGATTGATCCAAATTGTTCGCAACATCGGTACGAGCAACATTTATGTTCTGTTGGGATGATGTATCTTGCGCAGTGACAGAAGATGATGGAGATAGTGCGTCCTTCTTCATAGTGGTTGAGCCCTGTTCATTTACAACGTGAGCTGCGCTATTTTCTGTTAAAACAAATGCTGACTTTTCTGCCGGAACGTAATCGGATACGGTTTTATTGATCTCGTGTGTTGTCTGCTGCTGCACTTGGTCATATTCTGATCCGTCTTCATTTGCTGATAGATAATCATCAGCAGGCAACGTTTCCTTCCTAGAGATGGGTGAATCCAAAATGTTCACAACATCGGTACGTTGCTCGCTATTTTTCATTTCTGGAGAAATTTGTTTTCTGTCCGATATGCCATGGACACTTTCTACTGATTCCTCAAATGTGTCATTATTGTTCGAAAGTTCAGCTGATCTGCTAAGAGTATCCTTGTTAGAGATGGATTGATCCAAATTGTTCGCAACATCGGTACGAACAACATTTATGTTCTGTTGGGATGATGTATCTTGCGCAGTGGTTGACGGTGGTGGAGATGGTGCTCTCCTCTTCATAGTGGTTGAGCCCTGTTCATTTACAACGCCAGCTGCACTATTTTCGGTTAAACGTTCGTCGTTATGTTTCGTTTCTGACGAAATTAATTTTCTCTGGGATATAGCATTGACACCTTCCATTGATTCCTCAGATGCGTCGTTATTGTTCGAAAGTTCAGCTGATCTGCTAAGAGTATCCTTCTTAGAGATGGATTGATCCAAATTGTTCGCAACATCGGTACGAGCAACATTTATGTTCTGTTGGGATGATGTATCTTGCGCAGTGGTTGACGGTGGTGGAGATGGTGCTCTCCTCTTCATAGTGGTTGAGCCCTGTTCATTTACAACGTGATCTGCGCTATTTTCGATTAAACGTTCGTCGTTATTTTTCATTTCTGGAGAGATTAGATTTCTCTCTGATATGCCATGGACACTTTCTACTAAGTCATCAGATGTGTCATTATCGTTCGAAAGTTCAGCTGATCTGCTAAGAGTATCCTTGTTAGAGATGGATTGATCCAAATTGTTCGCAACATCGGTACGAGCAACATTTATGTTCTGTTGGGATGATGTATCTTGCGCAGTGACAGAAGATGGTGGAGATGGTGCTCTCCTCTTCATAGTGGTTGAGCCCTGTTCATTTACAATGTGAGCTGCACTATTTTCGGTAAAAACAAATGTTGACTTTTCTGCCGGAACGTAATCGGATACGGTTTTATTGATCTCGTGTGTTGTCTGCTGCTGCACTTGATCATATTCTGATTCGTCTTCATTTGCTGATAGATACTCAGCAGCAGGCAACTTTTCCTCGACAGACGATGGTGATGGTGAAACTGTCTCGGCATCCGAATCGATTTCATCACTGCCTAGTTGGGTTGTGAAATGAACATGCGATTTTAAATTATTATCAATGGGCTTTTGCATTATCATGGAATCGTTGGACAAAGTGGCCACAGGTTTTTCTAAGCTTGAATTTGTTAATAACTTATTATTATCATCGCGTTGTTTCTTTTTTCTGCCTGATATTGTCGATATTTCCGATTGATTTTCATCCTCAGTGGTGGAAAAAAAGTCTGACATTTTATCTGGTGTAAGAAAAGCGTCCTCGTCCGAATGCACTACCATCTTAGTTGTATCAGATATTTCATCTTCATCAGATCTTTCCGATATATCGCTTAGATCATCATCGGTATCATCCATCAATAATGCCGACGAGATATTTGCATACGTTTTTCCTTGATAAGTTTGAGAGGAGGGTTGTGGTACTACTGATGAGCTTTTATCTTGAATTGTGTTCGACAGAAGATAGTCTGCTATATCTTCTTGTTTTTCAGGTGTATTAATATTACCTGCAAAATTTCCGATTGTTGAACAGAGAAGTTTCCTCAAACGTTTTACGATTGCAAAGGTAATTAAATCCTTATCAGAACAAGCAAAGTATGGAGAAAGACAAAAGAGCATCGTTGCTATTTTGTAACATCCCACCTTCTTTAACAATAGTTGCTACAGGGTTCACATTTAATATTCTGTGAAAGTTCACTTTTGATGTATTTATAGGTTTCGAACTTACCTAAACTTGTGTCTGGACTTAATTTCGTAGCTTGTTTTAGAGAAGATATTTGAGGTGACAACAATTTGTTGGTTTCTAGAAATAAAAATAATATCGTATGCAGTTCTGTTGTATTTCACTTTCATATAAACAAACCTTCATTAAAACTATCACCAGTGGGTGAGTATTTTTTTGTGGGTAATGGCGGTGTTGTTTGTTTTTCTGATTGTTCTAAATCATCTTCTCGAGCCATTTTATCGTTTTGACCACGCGTTGTTGTTTTTGAGGTATTATAATCTGTTTCAGGTAAAATTGTTGTTCGAGCAGTACGTTGTGCTGAGTCTTGATGTGTACCAGGTAATGCACCGGTACTCGACTGACTACTTTGTGTACCAGTTTTTCCAACAGGTGATTGATCGAACGACGATAACATTCGATTTTGTTCATCTGCGGGGTTTGTTATACCAACTTGAAGTGGTTTAAAAGTTCGGTCATCTTCTAATGGACGGTATTTCATGTGGTCTTCGGTATCTAAAACGAAATTTTATCAGAAATAATACTACAAAAGGGTTGTTTTGTGGTCGCACCTTGTTTCTGCTCTCGTTTTCGATCTGGTGATGTTGAACGAATAGACGAATCTAGACTAGTAATAGCTCCTCCTCGACCCGTTCCGGTTGTTTTTCCTATATCATCGATTGACGATGGATTACTCCATGATGAACCGTCTTGAGTGGCTGGTCCAACTCCTTGAATAATTTGCCCAGGATGTTTTTGTTGATTCGAAGAGGTATTTGGTTTTGTTGATACGCGCGATCCTTGATTAACTAAATCACCGGCACCCTGTTGTTGCTGTTGCTCATGAAGACCTGTTGTTGATGGTTTGTTCGTTGGGACCGTTTCGCGTTTTCCTCTTCTACCACCATCATCCGCTGATAGTGCTGAATCAGGTGAAGCGGTGCCAGTTGTTGATGTATATTTTTGAATTAATTGTTCAAGTGCTTCTGCTGCTGAAGATGTTGGCAAATTACTTGATGGTAAAACTTCACCACTCGATTGTTGTTGTAATTGATCCTCCGAATATTTATGAGAACGATCATGTTGAGTATTCGGCAACGTTGTATTGTTTATATCCGATTTCAATAAATAACTCTTTTTAGCCACCAAAAAATTTAAATCATGTTCATTTTTATTCTTTTTTAGTAGTGCTAATACTTCAGCATACGGTAGTTTTATTACGGGTGTATCATTTAAGGATAAAATACAATCATCCTTTTCTATACCAGCTAGGTCAGCTGGCGAATTTTGTTCAACTTCAATAACAATATGCCCAAAATCTTTATCTGGTTGTAAATAGATGCCGAGACCATCGGTGCCTGGACGAGTTATTAATGTGCACATACGTGGATCGGAAGTAACTGAAAAGAAAAAAGATCAAAATAAAAACCATTTTTATCGTAAAACAGGAGATAAGCATGTTAAAGATGTTCGTTAAAGTTCCTATAGAAAACAAACAAAGTAGTCATGTTATTTATAAAAAATACACATGCAGTTAAGACAAAGTCAATCTGACATGATTAAAAAAAGCACATTACACGTTCAATCCTCATTTTGAGATATTGATAACAGTACATTGTGTTACATTTGTCACTAGTTTTGACTGAAAAGTTATGGACTAAAAAGTATATTCGCGATTATTTGATTAAAAAAACTTTAACGAAATAGGGATACTCAAATCTTCTATTATTAATCAACTATCTGTAGCATATCATGCTACCTTAGAACAAATACATTCATAGGATTTTAGTTTAGTATAAAAAGCAAAAGCAGCAAACAATTTCACTTTATATTTTGAGAAACTTCGACGTATTGAAATGGAGAAATATTAGTTAAGAGTGAAAAGCTCCGATTCTACTCATCCCTTTCATCTGCACACGCACGTGTGCTGCTCTTAGAAGAGAGAGATGCTTAGCGCGTAATATGGATAACGTCTAGCGTATGTTACAGATAATATGTGTTTATTACATTTAATAGCATTTTGAAAAAATGCTTTCTTTTTCCCATGCGTTAAATGCGACTTTATAGCATGTGTTTCTCCTACCATTCTGCTGATTATTGACTGCTGATGGTTGCGATAGACGTTCATGATTATCCCCAGTATTATCATCATCACCAGAACTGGTTCTTCGAAATTTATTTTTAATTCTATCCACAAATGAAGCATTTGATGAAGAATCTATTTTCTCTTTATTTAAATTGTTATTAGTATTAGTCGGAGAAGTGAGAGTGGTAATATCTTTTTGCTTATGTGTTTTAGATAATCTTTCTGGTGTTGGCTTGAAATCATACTCAGTCGATGGTCTTTCTGCTTTTGATGTCAATTGCGTTTCTCCTACAGTTTTGCTATATGCTTTCGAATCTTTATTATTATCAGCTGCAGCAAATTCATCTCTGTTAAATGGAGGTGGTGGTGGATATCGGTAAGACTGAGCTTCATGCAAATCACCTTCTTTATCAAATAGAACATCGAAAAATGATTTCCCATTTTCAACGGCATAATCTGAAATCAAAATAATCCAAGCGGTTGTTATTGCGTGTCTTATAAGCAAGAATAAATTTTTGAAAAATTTGATCAAATTCAAGAGTGTTACTACTCAATTCTCATCAAGTTTTTAATGTAATCAGAATCTACTGTCTATCATTCAGCTCAATTTTCTTCTGAAACGAAACAATTTGTACAACATGACGATATGAGTAAATTCATGCTTCAATTTGCACTCATTAATCTAACATTTGCAACTTTCTGATTATTAGTGGATATTTTTATGTTACTCCTTCAAATTATTTGTAATTTTTTAGTTTTCTCGACAAGAAATAAAAAAATATTAGCTTGTGTACGAACACGTAATTGATTCTAACTCAGTTTTATTTGTATGTATTCATGCGCAAAAACGCAGCACGAGGGACTGGCATCAAGATTAAAAGCAAATTTATTTAGTTTGAATCTAGTTGCAAGTAGATTTACTCGCTTACTGTACTTTGCTTGGATTAATTCCTCGTCTCGGCACCATTTAACTGTATAATCAATTAATTTATGGATAAGGTGATGGAGTAGTTCTGAATTCACGGCATGACCACCTAACTCTACTATCGGTGTGAAATTCCGTGACAATTTTTTGACATTTTGTGTTCTCTAATAATTTTCGAAGAGCAAGAAGTCCAGATAGTTGAAACATCTCAGATTAAAGAGAAAAGTGTGTTAATGATTTTGAGACGTTCCAGCAGACAACACGTTCTTCCGTTCAAAAACTATGACAAAAATACAAACACCGACTTTTTCAAATAATTTTTGAACGGAAGAACGTGTT